CCTCATGCTTGGTATTCTCGTTTGACTTCCACTCTTCTTCAATTGGGTTTTTGCAACTCTGTGATTGATCCTTCTATTTATTTACAAGAGTAAGTCTACTATTGTTTATATCTTGGTGTACATTGATGATATCATTGTTATCGGCAATTCTCCGTCTGTTGTTTCGTCTCTCCTTCAGCAAATCTCTGCAGTGTTTCTTGTTAAGGATCTTGGCACATTGCATTATTTTCTTGGAATTGAGGCACAGTGAACCTCTGATGGTCTTGATCTATCATAGAAACAGTACATTGTGGACTTGTTGCATCGCACCAAACTTGATGGTGCAAAACCCTACAATTCTCCGATGGTAGCATTTGCTCAACTAAGCAAGATGTCGAGCACACTTCTCTCAGATCCTTTTGATTACCGAAGTATTGTTGGTGCACTGCAATACATCACTCTCACCAGACTGGATATCTCCTTCTCAGTCCACAAGGTTTGTTAGTTTCTTCAGACCCCGACTGATGAACATTGGTCTTTAGGGAATTCTAGATCATAGTTTGCATTTTGTTGCATCCTCTACTTCTCTTCTACTGAATGCCTTCACAGATGCTAACTGGGCCAGATACCCAGATGAACGCCGGTTTATGGGTGGCTTTGCTATCTATTTGAGATGTTACCTCATAAGTTGGAGTTCTAAGAAGCAACATATTGTAGCTCGTTCCATCATGAAGTCTGAATTTCGGTCTCTTACTAATATTGTAACTGGGGTTTTGTAGATTCAGTTTCTTTTGACTGATTTCGGGTTTCTAGTCTCCAAGCCCATAGTATGGTGTGGCAATCTTGGTGCAACTTATCTTGCTGCTCATTTGGTTTTCCTTGCTCAAACCAAGCATGTGGAAGTTGATTTTGACTTCCTACGGGACCTCTGCATGGCTAACAAATTATCCCTTCGGTATCTCTGCTCTAAAGATCAAGTAGTTGACATCTTCACAAAACCTCTAGCCATTCCACGGTTCAACCTTCTCCAGTCTAAGCTTCACATACAGGCGTTCAGTTTGAGGGGTCATAATGGAGATAATCCTTATGGAACTTATCCTAATCAAACCAGCTTTGGAGATAATCCTCTTGGAGGTTATCCTACCAGATCCAAAACTCTTAACCAATTGATAACTCTACATTTTGATGCCTTAAGGGCATCATTTCAAGGGTATTTTCAGCCTTAGAATAGTCAAAGTATGCTTTTTTCCCAGTTAAATTCATTGTTGTGACCTCTAAGGGTCTCTGTGCAAATTCTGGGAAAAACTGGGAAGCTTTCATGGCTGAAATGCAAATTTTGGGAAGCTGGTGTGAAGTGCAACTGAGAGAGGGGGTGTTTTTGTGAAAAAACTGAAAGCAGGAGGGCGCCTCCTAGCTGCTAAACCCAGTTTGGTGCCCCTCCCACTGTATTAGTATGCTCCCCATGCCTTAGCAAACCTTAGGACGCTTTTTAACCCATTCTTTTCACTCTTAACAAACCCTATTCGCCCTTAAGTACTAAATCCTCACCTTCCATCCCTTCTAATCTCCACCATCCTTTCTAGGGCACTCTTTTTTTAGCATTCTAACCCTAGGAGCCACCTAACTTCTATTCTTCACCATTCAACCTTTAGTCATTAAATCTCAGCCTTACATAATATTGGGTGCCTTCTCATTTTCTTCTCAGCCTTAGGATCACCCTATAATCATCATAACCCTTCATTTTAAACCCTAGGGCACCCATATTTTTTCTAAAACCCAGTTGCCACCCCCCTCTTTCTCTCTATTCCTAGTTGTGTCCACCTTTCTCTATAAAAAGGACCCCAGGGCCCCTGTAGAGGGATTGGTCAATTCACTCAGTTAACAAGGCTAAGGTTTTTGAGGAGTTCAAGGGTCGTTGAAAGGGAGGATGCCCAGTTCTTGTCAGGAAGGGTTCCTGCAAGCTGTTCAACCATTCTACAACTACTGCCACTGGATTTGATCAACCATTCTTTTCTTTTCTACAATCTTTTAGATTTAATTCTTGTTCGTTTCTCTGTTTTGCAGATCTGAATTTGTTAGGTTCAAGGCTAAGGTGTCTCAAGGGGTTCGAGGGTTGTGAGAAGGACGGACGCCCGGTTCTTGTTAGGAGGGATTTCTACAAGCTATTTGGCCGATCTGCAGCTACTGCCACCGGATTCGAATTCTAGATCATTTTTTTTATTTATTTCTTTTATTTCCTTTGTTGATTCCCATACTTTATTAAATTCTGATTTTTATTTATTGTCTTGTTTAAATTTGAAACATTTAATTTCAGTAATAATAGATTTTATTTTCGTATTTTCTGCCATTCTCAATTGTATTTTCTTGTCTGGATCTAAGTATATATTAAATTTTCACTTGCTTCTCTGTGGATACGACACGTTCTTACCCATTTACTATGTCAGTAGTTGTTTGAGAAAAAATTATAAATGTTTAAACTGGTGTTCCGGGATGTTTAACGATGCTCTTCTAGACACACCACCAATCCCGAACCAATTTTGACTTTGAGAAAGATAAGGATAAGGACTGTAAATCAAGATCAAGATGATCCATCTTGTACTCTATCTAGTTTTCTATTGTTATCTTGTACATGTCATTGTATGATCCAAACGCTTCATTGAAGCCTATAAATACCATTAACTTCAGTGCTCCAACTCACTGAAGTCAATTCTCTCATATCTGTTTCTCTATTTTTTTTATTTGATTTGGTCGTTCATAGTTTATACTCATGCGGGCCAGGAGTAATACAAATAATTTTTTTTGTGACTGCATTTTCTCAGGTTGCCTACGTACCCTTAGAAGGATCAAGTCATGACGTAGTTCACAAAGTGATTTGTACTTGCAACTTGGGGCTTTGTAGATAGTTTAGGCTCTTATCTAGGAACGCTTAGTAGATAGTTTAGGCTCGTGTCTGGGAGAACTATTTGAGTTATTTTGAAAGTTAAATAGTTTATACTCATACTCAGAAGTCTTGTAGAAAGTTTATGCTCGTATATGGGAGCAAACTTTGAGTTACTTTAGAAATTGAATAGTTTATACTCATACTCGGGAGTCCTGCAGACAGTTTATGCTCGTATGTAGGAGCAAACATAATTGAGGCTCATAGGGTGTGAAGCAGTTTATACTCATGCCCTAGAGTCTTGTAGATAGTTTAGGCTTATATTTGGGAGAACATTTTGAATTACTTTATAAGTCGAATAATTTATACTCATACTCAGGAGTCTTGTAAATAGTTTATGTTCACATCCGGAAGCATAGATAGTTTAAGCTCATATATAGGAGCATATTGAGTGAGTATTTTTAATAGACAGTTTAGACTCGTATCTGGGAGCATAGATAGTTTAAGCTCATATCTATGAGCATATTAAGTTTTTTTTTAATAGACAGTTTAGACTCGTATCTGAGAGCATAAATAGTTTAATCTCATATCCAGAAGTGTACTTTGACTCATTTTCTTTTCCTATAACATGTGATTGTATGTATAACTACACATCTTTTACAAAAGAATTCCTTTTGTATGTACTCTTGTAGGGTAATTGAAAGCCAAGGAACTTGTTTCGAAACTTCATTGGTTACCACTCGCAATGGTTAGGTAGCAGTGTTCTTGTTTTGTCTTTTCTTCATTTTGGGGAGTTTTTGTGATCGAACATTTCTTTTAATTTGCTTTGATTTTTCATTAGGTAGAGTGGATTGGTGTGTCAAATGATACTCCCGACATGTAATTATGGTCTAATCATCTTTCGAGAGAGACGTGGTGAACTAGGGTGAAGGAATTTCCTTGGGACTTAAGACTTGTGCTTGTGCTCGATTTAGTATTGCCCTTATTTTTTGGCAATAAGTAGAAGGGTTACTGGGGATTATTTGCTTTAGTGATGCCCCTGGTGTGAGTTCATAGATGATAGGACGATGAGGGCATTGGAGAGGTTCAGGTTCAAAGGATCCAAATGTAATGGTTGTCATGTTGGTGGTCGTTATGTCCTCACTTGGATGTAGTTCGATCACTCCTGGTGGTCGCTAAGTTTCATGTCATGGGCACGGGTGGCCAATTCCTCAAATGTTCAGGGTTTTATTCCCTTGAGGATGTAATGCAACCCCCAACGCATGATTTGAATACAAGTATCAATAGCTGAAGCTTTTGAGAGCTTGTCTTGATAGTTGAGGTAGAGATTTCTCCATCTGTCAATATAGCCAACGACTTGTTTATCTTTTTTCTATTTTGTGGTAATGAGTTTGTACATGCTTATAGTACATCGAGTATTATAGAAGCGATTCAAGAACTCTCTTTCTAATTAATTCCAACTATCAATTGATCCAAAAGAGAGGTCAATGTACCAGTCAAAAGCTTTTCCTCGTAGAGACTGTACAAATTGCTTTATCAACAAATCACCATAGGTCTCCATACTATTGCATGTCTCCATGAAATGCATAATATGTTGCCTGGGATTCAAATGGTTGAAACTTCGGGACAGATACCCTAACGGCATAGAAATATGATCAATGCACTTAATATACACCGAGGATGACTGTCCGTGTGTTAGTACGTTCTCACTACAACTAAGTGTTTATATAGCGGCGGAATTCTTAGCGGCACTAAGAAAAACACCGCTATATATTCATTTTTAAACAGCTAATAAAGAAATCCGCTGCTCTAAGTGTGATTAGTTACAATGGCGGATGCATATCTGCCGCTGGATAAGCGATACACTTCTTTCGTCTTCCCTCAAACCGCACCGGTAAAACCCCTTTCGCATTCTTCTTTGAGCACCAGCATTTCCCTGTTTTCTTCGGCAACTGAGAAGCACAAAACGAGAGGTAAGTCACGATTTCTCTTCTTCCTCCCATCCCTCTCTCTCTCACTTTTTTCTTTCATTCATCCCCTTTTCTACAGAAGACCATCAAACCTTCTCTTTGCCGAATCTAGGTTTCCAACCGTCTCTCACTCATCTCTTGTCACTCCTTCGGCAGCTGGGACCGAACTGAACTCATCTCAGGAGAGGTAAGTTTTTATGCATTTGTATTATTTTTTTGTTTGTTCCTATTGGTGGCGTGACAATGGAGTAACTCCTAGCTTGTGAAGCATCAGATCTCCAGACTGCATTCGGATACCCTGGATTCCCATTAGCATCACCATAGCCACTTCCAATGTAGCCACCACCTGCTCCCTGTTGCTCTCCACCACCAGCTCCAGCACCAGAACTGCTATTTGGGGCACTGCCAGCATGCCCTCCAATAGCACCATAGCTGCTTGGATTACCATAAGATCCATCACCCCCACCATAACCACCATACTCATAACCATGATTCCCATAATTGGCAGCCCCACTCGGGGACTGACCTGTTGGGGCATAAACAGCATTACCAACACCAGCAGCACCACTGGGAGCATTCCAATGAGCAGTAGACCCATAACCTACAAAACCAGTAGGAGCTTGATTGCTCCATGGGCTTCTAGGGGCACTAGGACCACTTACATACCCAGCATTTGGAGCATTAGGGTTCGCATAGGCCCCAGCAGGCCCACTGTATCCAGCATTGGCACTACCATAGCCACCAACACCATAGCGACCATAGCCATCACCATTACTAGCTGCACCATAACCATAACCAGGTGCACCTTAGCCAGAAGAACCATAAGCTGGAAAACCACATCTAGCAATTTGAGGTGGCATGTACCTGGCAACATCCACCCGACTATCATATGTATTTGCATTGCCACCTGAACCACCTCCCATCTGACGGCCACCACTTCCAGGGTTAGCTTCTTTTGGAAGAGCATTATGTAGGACTCTATCAAAGGAGATGAATCCAAATTCATGAGGCTGCTGGGTAGTCTGGTCATCCAAATCCTAGTCTGATTCTGGTCAATGGATTTCAAGTTCCCTCTATCAATATCATGACTACAACTAGGGGTGCCAATTGGACTGGATTTGGTTCAATCCAGTCCAGTCCAATGTGAGGCCATTACAAATGGACCTGGTCCAATCCAGTCCAATGAATATTTTGGACCATTTTGGACCGGTCCAGAGACTGTCCAATCTGTTCAAATTCCTGTTAATTTAGATTAGTTTCAACTCAAACCTGGTCCATTGAGACCTATGTTCTTATCTTTTATCAATGGACCAGATATTGGCTCAATCCAACATAAATTCATTATGGACGGACCGGGTCCAATCCAATATGTCATATTGGTCCGTCCAGTCTGTCTAAATTCAATGTCTTATTGGTCTGTCCAATCTGTCCAAATGGATTTTGATTTGGACGGACTCCAACCCAAAACCAGTCCATTGACACCCCTAACTACAATCCAATGTAGAAATCTGAATTACAGCCCCCATACTCTACTAGTAGCCCCCCTATATTCAAAACTGCAGGAGATGGAAGAGAGGTAACTTTCACTTTATTCAAAACTACAAGAGAGGTTTTTTGTTTTAGTCAAAACACAGGGGAGGTTTTTATATTTTACCCTAATAATTAAAAGGTGCTTATCAAAAAATAATGATTAAAAGGTGAGTTTTTAGATGAAAGAGTTTATTTACGTTATTGGGAAAGTACATCTCATTGGTTGTTTCAAAAATGACATTGAATAAAAAAATAAAAAAAGGAAAAATTTCTTGACCGCTTTGTTTTAACTATTTCTTTATTTTAACTATTTAAAATCTAGTTATGTTAAATATTTTGTTATTTAAAATACCCAGTTATTTAAATACTTAAATAATATGTAAATATTTAAATTTTAAAATATTAGTTATTTATGGAATTTATTTATCCATAAAATCATAATTTATAATATTATTACATAATTTCATTATTAATTTTGTAATATATTGAATTATTATTAATTTCAATATTATGTCATAATTATTTTTCTACTTTAAAGATTTCTTTTTTAAATTTATTACATAATTTCGTTATTTTAACTATTTAAAATATAGTTATGATAAATATTGTTATTTAAATATGTATATAATCTATAAAATATTTCAATTTTTTTGTTATTTGAATTTTGTTTATTTAAAGCTCTTACATATTATTAAATAGTTTAAATTGTTAGTACATAATTTTGCGATATATTTTGTAAAAATGTACAATTATTTTTTGTGTTTTTAATAAATATTTTAAAGTTATTATATAATTTTGTTAGAATATTTAAATAATTGTTAAATTTTTTAATCCAAACTTTCTTTAGATAGATATAGATAAAAAGTAGGGGAGAGGATAAATAGGAATTAGAGATAATTTAGGAGAGAAATTCTCTACTAAATTAGAGATAATTGTGAAGATAAATAGGAATTAGAGATATTTCTAGAGAAAGTGGAGGAGATAGTTTAGGATAAACTTTAGGAGAAGAAATTATTTAGGTTATTGGGAAAGTGCATTTCATTGGTTATTTCAAAAATGACATGGAATAAAAAAACAAAAAATTCAAAAAAAGGAGAATTTCTTTACCGCTTTGTTTTAAATATATACTAGCAGGGACCTCACAGGATTTATTAAGTGAAAGCTAAATAATAGTAAAGGTCAAATACCAAAATACCCCTTATAGTTTCATGGATTTATTAAAATCTACCCTATAGTTAGCATTTTACTAAAACACCACTTATAATTTGTAATGGATTTAATCAATCTTCTATTGACCTAATGCTCATTTAAATAAATTTTATTAAAATAAAATAAAAATAAAAATACCATTTTTACCATTAATAAGACATAGGCAACCATTCTATTGGCTATATTTGGTCAATTTTGTTTTTTATACAAAAAAAAGTATTAAGGGTATTTTTTGGAATAAGAAATCATGGGCCTAATGGCAAAACAAACACTCTTTAATGAAAGGTTGATCAAGTAAATAAGTTGTAAAATATATGAGATGTTTTAATAAAATGAAAACTATAAGACTATAAGGTAGGTTTAAATAAATATGTAAAATTTTAAGATGTGTAGGGATGGCAATGGATGGGGATCATATTCTCCATCCCCGACCTCGATTCTAAAATTAACCCCTATCCCCGAATCCCCAAAATGTTTTTTAGATAATAGTATTTTTTTTAAATAAATAAAAATTTTAAATTATAAATAATGTTTTAAATATGTTTTGATATATATAATATAAATAATATAATAGTATATTTAATATAAATAACATTTAATATATATATAAAATTGGAGTAGGGGTGGGGCGGGAACCTCAATCCTCATCCCTGACCGGGGATTCCTATTAATCCCCGTCCCTACCCCTGCCTTGCCAAAACAATTCCCATCCCTAGCCCCATTATGTCGGGGAAATCGGGTCCTCGTTGGGGATGGGGAAAATTGCCATTCGTAAAGGTGTGTTCTAATAAATGACCCTAATTGAAACACATAAGAGTATACAATTGTTTTATATTTTTCAACTTTTTAAATAATTAATAATTCTTCATATTTTATATACTACTTTTAATAAAATTTTTATAATACAAAAATAAAAATAATTAATTTCAATTAGGTTTATTCATCAAACTGATGAAACCGACCAACCCAATTAACTCGACCCGAGTTTGTCGGTTTCTAGCATTTTAGGTTGGCTTTGGTTAAAAAATTTTCCAATTCGACCAAGTTGGATTAGTTTCACTTTGGCCATTTGTAAACCGGCCAAAATCGAATGACCTAACCATGGATATATATATTAATATTCTATATTTTCAATATAATTTTTAATTTAGAAAAGTGGGAATTTTTCATGTTTCTTAGCCTAAAATATTTTATATCATAAATCTAAGTTTTCAATTTATTTTTTAATAATTATGCTATAATTCTTAAAATTTAATTTAATTTTTAAGTTTAAATCTTTTGAAACTAACTGAAAAAAAAAATTGACACAAACTGATACAACTTGAGTGGGTCAGACTTCACAAAAGGTTAGTCAATTTCAACTGACCAACTCCCTAACCTGACCAGGTCAATTTGGTTGGCCAAATAGCCTATGACCGAACCAAACTAACTCATGTCTGATAAATAACAATAGTTTAATCTCCAATAATTATTGAAAATTTATAGTAAAAATACATAATTATTGAAAATATATTGATAATGAAAAATACAATAATTATAGAAATTACAAAAATACAATAAGTACTAAAAATATATTAACTTAGTTAATAATAGTATAATCTCAAATAATAGTTTAATTTCTAATAAATAATAATCAAAAACTTATAATAAAAATACAATAAATACAAAACAAAACAAAATATTAATCAAAAACTTATAATTAAATTGAATTTTAGTAATAGTAATTTAATCTCCAATAATTATTGAAAATTTTCTGTTAAATAACAAAACAAAATAAATTTATACATAATCATTGAAAATACATTTATCACAAAAAACAATAAATATTAAATTCAGTATATATAATTATATAATAAATACAAATTGATAGTTTAAAATTATTATTAATAAATATTAATTTTTTGAAAGTTATTTTCTCGAATTGTTGTTCCACTTTTTCGAATTTTTTAAATTCATTTACGTAATTTCTTTATTTTAACTATTTAAAATCTATTTATGTTAAATATTTTGTATCCAAAATATTTAGTTATTTAAATACTTAAATCATATGTAAAATATTTAAATTTAAAGATATTAATTATTTATTGAATTTAGTTATCCATAAAATTATAATTTATACTATTATTACATAACTTAATTATTATTATAATTATTTCTCTGCCTTGATGAAATTTTTTAAATTTATCACATAATTTCGTTATTTTAGCTATTTAAAATCTAGTTATGATGAATATTTAGTTATTTAAATATTTAAATAATCTATACAATATTTAAAATTTTTTGTTATTTGAATTTTATTTATTTAAAGCTATTACATATTATTAAATATTTAAAAAACATTTAAATAGTTAATTCAGAAACATATAATTTAAATTGTTAGCATATAATTTCGTGATATATTTTATAAAAATATAAAATTATATTTTTGTGTTTTTAATAAATATTTTAAAGTTATTATGTAATTTTCGTAGAATATGTAAATTATTCTTAATTTTTTTAACAAATACATTCTTTAGATAGATATAGATAAAATGTGGCAAAGAGGATAAATAGGGATTAGAGATAATTTGGAGAGAAATTCTCTAGTAGATTAAAGATAAGTTAGGAGATAAATAGGAATTAGAGATGATTTAGGAGAAAGTGGGGGAGGAAGTTGGGGATAAATTTTAGGAGAAAAAACTGTTGGGGAAGGAGAGCATTTCATTGGTTCTTTAAGAAAAGACATGGAATAAAAAAATAAAAAATTCAAAAAAAAGGAGAAAATTTCTTGATCGTATAGATAGATAGATAGATAGATTTAGTTATTTTAACTCTTTAAAATCTAGTTATGAAAAATATCTAGTTATTTAAATATTTAAATAATCTATAAAATATTCAAAAGTTTTTGTTATTTGAATTTTATTTATTTAAAGCTATTACATATTATTAAATGTTTGAAAAATATTCAAATTGATGATCTAGAAAAACATAATTTAAATTGTTAGTACATAATTTCGTGATATATTTTGTAAAAATATAAAATTATTTATTAGATAATTTCGTTATTTTAACTATTTAAAATATTGTTATTATAAATATTTAGTTATTTAAATATTTAAATAATCTATAAAATATTTATTTTTTTTGTTATTTGAATTTTATTTATTTAAAGCTATTACATATTATTAAATATTTGAAAAGCATTTAAATTGATCATTTGGAAAAAGGTAATTTAAATTGTTAATACATAATTTTGTGATATATTTTGTAAAAATATAAAATTATTTTTTGTTTTTTAATAAATATTTTAAACTTATTATATAATTTTTTTAGAGTATTGAAATAGTTCTTAAATTTTTTAATCCAAACTTTCTTTAGATAGATATAGATAAAAAGTAGAGGAGAGGATAAATAGGAATTAGAGATAATTTAGAAGAGAAACTCTCTACTAAATTAGAGATAATTATGAAAGTAAATAGGAATTAGAGATAGTTTAGAAGATAAATTGGAATTAGAGATAATTCTGGAGAAAGTGGGGGAGATAGTTTAGGATAAATTTTAGAAAAAGAGATTATTTAGGTTTGGGAAAGTGCATCTCATTGGTTGTTTCAAAAATGACATAGAATAAAAAAAAAAATTTAAAAAATGAGAAAATTTCTTGACCGCTTTGTTTTAAATATTACATAATATATAGATTATTTTGACAAAAAACAGCCCGACATGAATCAACATTGAGAACGATTTGTACTTCATAGTGGTGGGAAGGGAAGAGGAGAGAGAGTAAAGGAAAATGTAAGGTGGGGGTAATGGGGTAATGAGAGGAGTGCTGACATGGACCTTCTTGCTATATAAATAGATAGATAGATACTAATTGGGCCCGTGCAATGCAGTGGAAAGTCCAACATTCAATATGATGATAGAAGAATGATGCATAAATTTTAAACATTATCATTTTTATCAAAAAACTATATAATGGAAGAAACATAAATTAATGTAGGGGTACGCCTCGGGTAGGCTTGATTTAGCATTTCAAACTGATACGTTTGAGGCTTCAATCATAGACTACCCAAGTTGCACCTCTACGCTCATGTCATGTTCCTAGTTTAATTGTGACAATTAGTACACTGTTATTTGATTAAGGGCTAATTAAAGTACCCGTAAAGTTTACCTTTTTTTGGTTAACTAGATAAATCATTAAAGAAAGAGATATTTACAAGCATACTCCACCTAATCGTCCAACCTTATGGGCATTGGCCTCAACAAAACAACAAGAATCCTTTTCCCTTTTTATAAAAGAAAAAAGAAACATCAACTTCCAAACACGAGTCTAGAATGTCTTTATACAGAAAGAAAGCATCTCTGGTTGCAGCTAGATCTTTATCCCTTAAAAAGTTGATGAGAGAGAGAGAGAGAGGTTATCACTTTGGAAAATTCCAAAAGCAACCTGACCATTTTTATCAAAACTTCCTTCAACAACGATTTTCAAAACATTCTCTTGGAGAGGTTTTCAAAAAGAGTTCTGACTTCCTCATGCATTTGCAAAGAATTTTGACTTCTTTCAGCAATGTGATCTTCTCCCTCTAGGACCTGTTTGGGATCATGATAGAGGAAATTGCGATTAGGAGGAGGAGCATAATCAAAGACGCATTTAATCCTGCTTTTCCAAATGATCCACAGTAATAAAAGAGTTTGTCTTAGTAGATCAGCGTTTTAGACTTATCAACAGCGAAATTTGTTACCCAATTTGTGAAGTTCTACACCTGACTAGAATTATAGTTGAAAATGGATCCAAACCATGCTAACTTGACATGATAACAGAGAAATAGGGCGTAAAGAACATATTCAGATGCAATTCCACAACACAGCATATACACGTTTGGATAGACTTTTACAAATTAAAGTATGAAAAATACGATATAGCATTTGTATTGTATATTTTACGCTTCTATTTCCCTACTTTTTAAAAGCATGAAAAGCCTCAAAAGCTCGAAATCAGCTTTTTATGCTTCATGTTTTTGGTGAAATAGTGCTTCCGTTTCCCTGCCAACAGGTGATCACACTACCTCTGCTCACCACTGCTGGAATCAAACCATTAATATCCGTTTCATACTGTCAAATCATTGGAAACCGTCATTGGAAGCACCAACAAACATGCTTTTGCCAAATAGAAAAGATACTTCTATTTTAGAAATTTTACTTTTCAAAATTTTTTACCCAAATAACTTTCAAAGCAAAATATACTAAAGTAAACAAATTTTAGGCATTGTTTGGGTAGACTTCTACTTTTGTACTATTAAAGTACCAAAGTATAAAGTACAAAAATGTCTTTACTTTGGTATTTTTGCTTTAAAAACCGTTTGGGTGAAAAATTTTGTAAAGTATGCTTTCCAAAACAAAATAACCATTTCCTATTTGGTAAAAACATGTTCATCTGTGGTTCTGGTGACTGGTGACCGCGATTTTCCGTAGTTTGGAAGTACTATTTTGCCAAAAGCATGAAATATAAAAAGTTGATTTCTTGCTTTTGAGAATTTTGTACTTCTAAAAAATATAAAGGCAGAATAACAAAAGTATACAATACAAACACTATTTTGTACTTTTTTAACTTTTATACTTTAAAAAAAGTATCCAAAGAGGGACTTATATATTTGTGTTTTTGAAATTACAAAAGTAGAAGTCTATCTAAAAACAACACCTTCTCATAAAGTGTTTGATTTTAAGATTTATTTTTAAATTCCAAATTTCCTTTTGTTTGAATTCTCTGATTATAATGGAAGGTGAAAAGTTGAATGTGCTCGCCAGCACGGGCATTAAATTGGACAAATTAAAAAGACTCCTTTACCCTTGATTATTGTTCAAATTTTGAAAAATGTATCCTCCTAAAACAAATCGTATTGTTTGTTTGAATTCTGTGATCATCTTGGAAGGTGGAAACCGGAAACTTGACTTTTCTCAACAGCACAGGCATTAAATTGGACAAAAAGACTCTTTTCACTTGATTATTGTTCAAATTTTGATAATGAGTCCTCGTTAGACAAAAAATGTGCGAAGGATTGAGCCCAACATCCACCCTCATCTCCTCTCTTATCTCCTACTATCTCGAATTTGTTCACTTGACAATAAGTAGAAGTTACAAAAATAAGCCTCATCTTGGTTTTCTCTCCTGTTTCCTTTACCGAATTTTCTCTGTAATTTCTCCTCTTTCGAGCAACCTCTCTGTGAGGAAAAGAATTTCTTGAAGAAAGCATAACTAGTCACGAGGGATTCTTTTTCTTTTTGGGTAATCAAGTCACGAGGGATTCTTTAGAATTCTTTAGAACTTACAAGTATTGCCCAAAAAATTTCCCAGTGTAAAAACAATTACCGTGGTTTTCAAATTTTTCCTCTCATAATCAGCCTTGATGTTGTTGTAGCTAGCTAGCTTTCAGACTTTCACAATCCTGTTGTTGCTTTATCTTCCATGGTACTCGCCGGTTTTGAAACCATTTTGCTACTGGCAGAGGTTGCAAGCGAAGGCCCCTTTCAAGGTGAACTTTCCATTCTAGCTCAAGATTATTTTCCATATCAAAATTCCTCATAATAAATTGTACTTGATTAGTGCTCAGGAAAGATGAATGCAGATCTAAAAATGCATGCAGGGAGTGTTGAAGCAAGCTGATTAATTATCTTATAAAACAGAAAGAAAAAGTCCCTTTAAGAAACTCACGAACAAGATATCTTAAAAGATTTGAAGCAAGCAGATTAATTTACTTATAAAACAGACTTCAAAAAGGAAAAAAAAAAACTTATAAAACAAAATGGCAATGGAAAAAAGAAAGAAAAAAAAAAAGATGGCCACACCATTATACTCGCAATATACATCTAAACGGAACAATTAACCTACAGATAATTTCTAGGTGCTACTAACGCCCTGTGGAGAGGAGAGACTCTGTCACCGATGATTGACTGATTGTATTGTTCAAACCCAAAGAAGAATGAAACAGGCCAAAGTTGTTAAAGACTTCCTTTTGTGAATATGTAACCCACAATGGATCCGGAAGCGGGGCATCTCCATTCAAAAACCCCAATACATGACGCATGGTCGGCCTATCTCTCGGAATGGAGTTACAGCAAAGAATGCCAAGCTTCAATGCCAAATCCATTTCCTCAGCCACATAATTGCTTGCCAAATTTGGATCTGCTGCCTCAAGAATTGCCCCTCTACTCCAAAATGACAACACCCAGTCAACCAAAATAAAATCCTCATGATCACCGGATGCTTGTGGTTCTATAGGCTTTCTCCCACACGCCACTTCAAGCACAAAAGCCCCAAAAGCAAATACATCTGTGCTGGGAGTCGGCCTACTGGTTCTAGTAATCTCTGGTGCAAGATAACCTAGTGTACCCATCACATGTGTTGTTTGTGGATCGCTTCCGTGATCATAAAGCCTCGAGAGTCCGAAATCTCCTAATCTACCGTTGAATTCGCTATCTAATAGGACATTGCTGGACTTTACATCTCTGTGAACAATGACCTGCTCCCATTCTTCATGCAGATAAAATAGCCCAGTTGCTACTCCTTTGATGACTCGAAATCTTTGGCTCCAATTCAGTGTAGATTTTGGTTGGTCGAAGATGAACTTGTCTAAACTTCCATTCGGCATGTAATCGTAGACCAACAGGAGCTCTCCTTTACGCCGGCAATAGCCCAAGAGTTGTACTAAGTTCCTGTGCCGCAGTCGACCCATGCTAACAATCTCGGCAACGAATTCTCTCATTCCTTGTCTTGATTCATGGGACACCCTCTTCACTGCAACTTCCACTTTGGAGGTGGGTAATATGCCTCTGTACACCTTACCTGAACCGCCCTGACCTAGAAGCTCCTTTTCGCTAAATCCCCTGGTGGCGATGTAGAGATCCTTAAATTTGAACCTACGAGGCCCATACTGTAGTTCCCATTCCTCAAGTACTTCAGCGAACTTTCTCTTCCTTCTAAAGATGAAAAGAATGCCGGTGATCAGTGTGGACATTAAAACCAAGCCAAGAATGGGCAACCCAACCGTGATAAACTTAGATTGCTGTTTAGTTCCTACTCGAGGAAGCGTAGGAAGTTGGGAGAGAGTGAGCTCTTTGGCTGGACCGTCGGTCTTAAAGCTCCATCCCAACACATAATGGGATGTAAGAACTGCACCCGTAGACGACGAGAAACCAACGTACATGGGGTCTTTAATGATCGGAGAAAGATTGTAGCGCAATGACAAGAGTGGGATATCTGGTTTAGGCACATTAATCGGAGCTATTGTAACATTAATTCGAGTGTCCAAGCCATTGTATTCGACCCATACTTGCATTGCTTTCCCACTCATGAGGCTTAAGTTCTTAAACTCACCATTTTGATCCGTAAAATAAGACGCTGGTGCGGAGTCTACGGATTTCAAGCCATTAATGTCAATACCAACATGGTTATCATTGATATCAGCCAACTCGATGTTCTCGATCGTGTCCAGTTCAACTGCAACAACATGGTTGGACATATTTCCATTGTTGGACGCGTTGAAAAGGCCTAGATATCTGGTTGGTTGGGATCCTGGGAGCCCTCTTGAAGGTGCGATCACGAAAGCCATTCCATGGCCACCCATATCTGGGTACTCGGGCTGGGTGATGATGGCGAACACGAAAGTGCTTGAGAAGGAGACAGCTTCACCGTTGCCTGGGTTCTTTAAGTGGAGTGGGTACGAGTAGAAGGCGTGACCCGTCTGCTGTGCAGTTTGGTTTGTTATCATTAAGAGGCCGCTTGGTGTGATCTGAGCCATACCGTCCAGGCTCAAGTTAGCACCTCGGAAGCCATTGTAGGTGAAGCCAGCATCTTCAGAGTCTGCAAACCGCATAAGCAAAAGCAGAAACAGATAAGGTTTTACGAGCTTGACAAACATAGTCCTGTGCGTTCCTGCTGCTGAACTGATGGCGGGCTCAACAAATGAGACTACGTTTTTCTTCTGTTCTAGAACTAATTTGTTTAATCGCAATCAATTTCCACCGAAACAACGAGAAAAATGAAAAGAAAAACACGAAAATGAAAAAGAAATAGAATGGGTCTTAATCCAAATCAAAATATCCTGTCCATCGGGGTTGTGCTCGTAGGACGCTTATGTCCATTCTATGAACTAAGCTAAGGTTGGATGATCAATAGATTCATGATTGAGTTTGAGTCTGCGTGCCTTGTCTGCAGCTAAAGGAATAACCTGATGACCAAGTCAAACCAACAATATTCTAGTAGATATTTTAATATTTAATATGTTTAATCGCAATCCATTTAACACCGAAAATAACGAGAAAATAAATGAAAAAGGGAAAGAAAAACCGTCTTAATCCACATCAAAATATCTCGTCCATTAGTGGAGTGCTTGTGAAGATGCTTAAGTCCTTCATTCAATGAGCTGAACTCAGATCAATGAGCTAGCTGATGACTAAGTCCAACCATCAATATTCAAGTAGAAAACTTTGAAGGCTAAAGTGATTGATATGAATGCGATTTCTTGCATTGAATTCCTTTCGGGGAACAAATTTGAATCACTATTATACCCTCAAATAAATGAATCAGTTCAGCTACTTCCAGCCCATATACATGAATAGATGTATACCATAAAAATAAATAAATCTATTTACCCTAAAAAAAAAAAAAAACTAAACAAATAAGATGAGACTGTAAGTGGGTTAGATGGACTCCCCCATGAAAGAGCATGATCAAAATCAACCTTGATGCATCTTTGAGGGCAAATGCACAACGTTCCTATGGTTAGGGGTTCAAATGGAAAAATCATTCGTGCTAGCAGGTTCCGTGGGAAGATCATCTATCGATGTAGCAGAGTTTTGGGCATCTCAGAGAAGAGTTATGGATCGAGGGCGACTAAAGAATCTTAATCTAACTGCCTCATAGGAAAATCTACCGCCGTTGGAGAGAGGGCAACCAAGCAGCGGATTGGTTACGGCACAGGGGTCAAAAGATTTCCCCATGCCAAGATCATTATCTATAAGACCGACGTTAACATCCATCTACTTGCCTTGGCGTAGGTGTTGTTCAATAAAGATTGCAATTATGTGTTCGCACCTAATTAATTGGAAGCTGTAGTGTAATTTCTCCTCCGAGTTTATTTTCAAACCAGAGAAGAAAACGAAATTTAGGATTATCGGACAAGAGATTTCGAGTATGTTTGTGAAGGTCGAGCTGGTGCTGCTGCTTGTGTGCCCGTTTCTGTTTCTGCCCGTGATGTCTGCGGCTTTAGAAGATGCCGGTTTTTCCTATAATGGCTTCCGAGGTGCTAATATTAGCCTGGATGGGATTGCACAAATCACACCCAATGGCCTCTTGGAGTTAACCAACCAATCTAGACGACAGATGGGTCATGCCTTGTATCCCTTCCCGTTCAACTTCAAGAACCTGTCGAATGGTAATGTTTTAACTTTCTCTACCACTTTTGTATTTGGTATCCTCTCTAGGTACCAAAATTTAAGTAGTCATGGGATCGCTTTCCTGATCACACCTTCAAGGGGGTTACCGGGAGCTCGACCGAGCCAATACCTAGGCCTCTTCAATGAATCCAACAACGGTAATCCGTCCAACCATGTTGTTGCAGTTGAGATGGATACCGTCCTGAACAAAGAGTTCTCTGATATCAATGACAACCATGTTGGTATCGATATCAACGGCTTAATTTCTGTTCATTCCGCTACGGCATCGTATGCCATCGATCGAAGTGGTGACCGTAAGAACCTAAGCCTCACAAGTGGTAAACCAATGCAAGTGTGGGTTGAATACAATGGCCTAGACATGCAAATGAATGTAACTTTGGCTCCCATTGGCGTCCCAAAACCTGATATTCCCCTTCTTTCATATCCCCTCGATCTTTCTCTCATCATAAAAGATCACATGTACGTCGGCTTCTCCTCATCAACGGGCACCGATCCTACGTCTCATTACGTGCTTGGATGGAGCTTTAAGATGAATGGACCAGCTAAAGATCTCACCATCTCTCAACTTCCTAAGCTACCTCGACTAGGACCAAGAAAGAAATCCAAATTTGTGACGGTGGGATTGCCCCTTATTGGCCTAGTTTTAGCGTCCACAGTACTCACCATTATCCTCTTCATCGTGACAAGGAAGAGAAAGTTCGCTGAAGTTGTTGAAGATTGGGAGCTAGAATATGGACCTCACAGGTTCAAATACAAAGATCTTTACGTCGCCACCAAGGGATTTAGGGACAAGGGGCTTCTGGGTATCGGCGGTTTCGGTAGGGTCTACAGAGGTGTGTTACCCACCTCCAAAATCCAAGTTGCAGTGAAGAGAGTTTCTCATGACTCTAGGCAAGGAATGAGAGAATTCGTTGCCGAGATTGTTAGCATTGGTCGGTTGCGTCACCGCAACTTAGTACAACTGTTGGGCTATTGTCGGCGTAAAGGAGAGCTCTTACTGGTGTACGATTACATGTCAAATGGAAGTCTAAACAAGTTGCTCTTCAACCAACCAGGTCCAGAAACCACACTGAATTGGGGTCAAAGATTTCGAATCATCAAAGGAGTAGCGTCTGTGCTATTTTATCTGCACCAAGGATGGGAGCAAGTGGTTATCCATAGAGATGTTAAGTCGAGCAATGTCTTGTTAGATAGTGAATTTAATGGAAGGTTAGGAGATTTTGGACTCGCAAGGCTATACGATCATGGAACTGATCCCAAAACTACCCATGTAGTAGGGACGCTTGGTTACGTTGCACCTGAGCTGACTAGGACCAGCAAGGCATCACCAAGCACAGATGTGTTCAGTTTCGGGGCTTTTCTGCTTGAAGTGGCTTGTGGGAGAAGACCTATAGATCCACGAGCATCAGCAGAGAATGTAATTTTGGTGGATTGGGTGTCTTCATGTTGGAGCAGAGGGACAATTCTTGAGACAGTAGATCCTAATCTGGGTAATGATTATGTAGTCGGTGAAGTAGATCTGGTGTTAAAGCTTGGGCTGCTTTGTTCTCAGTCCATTCCGACTGCCAGGCCTACCATGCATCAAGTGGTGCGGTTTTTGGCCGGGGATGCCCCTCTACCAGATTCATCTTTGCATAGTCTAAGTGCAAGTGGTCTAGAATTTGCGCATGGTGAAGGCTTCAGCGACTTTGTCACGTCGCATCCTTCACTTCAAAATACATCCATGACACAAATGTCGTTAGTTGCACACTCCCTCCTCTCAAACGGCCGTTAAATTTATAAATCTGATGATGATACATGGTTATGTAAATATTAAGGAGTTAAAATTAATAAGCTGCTAGACACAGGTATAGATCCTGTGACTGTATGGATCCTATTGCTTATAGGGAATACCCATATATAGTATAGGGATTGGCTGGTTAGTGTAAGAGGTATAGGAAATCTAAATTATATTCAATTTTCTCAAGTCGACTTGAGTGGGCGAATCTCTCGAAGTGTTCTAGGCTCCAAAACGTGCATATAAAATTATGACCATTTTATCACAGTTTTCTAAAGTTGTGAAAATGTTGGTAAGACAAGTGAACGTGCCACTTATATCTATATAAATTTTACAATGCACAAATATAACCTCAACATTTGTTAAACGTTTGTATTTGATTTGTCTTCCAAATCAAGAAAAAATAAATAATAAATCATTTATCAAATAAATGCCATCAACACTCCCATAGTCATCTCTTATATGTTAAAGTAAAATAAGAGATACAAACAAGGGAAAAATCTTTGACACCTCCGACAAGTGTACCAACCGCGCTACCTGATCAATCATGAGGGAACCTGTTAACGGGCAAGCCTCTTTGTCTCCATGGTCAGTGATTTAATGAGAGACAGAATAGTGGTTACGGACGATGGTGGATTTGAGTGTTTGGCATCCTTGTTCATACCTAGTGACTTGCGTTCTTCATGGAGATTCTGATGCTACTCTATTCGAGGTATTTCTTGAACCGAGATTACAGTCAGATAATCCTACTAATTAGACAAAGCTAAGGTAGAAGGACGAAACCGTATTTCAAGATTTGAAACCAAGGAAGCAGTCAGAGGCCTAAGGAATTATCCCTGTGTAGGTACTCTAATGTTCAAGTTAGTCGAGGAAAGTGGATAGTCGAGTTGAGCAGTTAGAGAATGATGCTATTCCGAGAAGAGTAACAGAATGAAAGTCAAAAGTTTGATCCCTTACCTTGAGGATGGCTTGGATCTTTTCCGAAAGCACACTCTGTCAGGTTCAACTTCATTTTATATTTCCTAAGTGTGTCGAAGACTTCTTTGAGATCGGCTAGGTGGTGCTTAGCCTTCTTACTCTTCACCAACATACACTACAAGAAAATCGTTCTAAGTCGGCGATCGTCAATCCACCCCCTAAACCTCTGCCGGCTTAAATGCAAAAGACTACCGCCTTAGGTGGGCGGTTCAAATTGCTCTAAAGCGACGGTCACACCGAGCTGTTGGCTTAGCATTGATCAGGTGACAATTTAAACCGCTGGCTTAGATACCGAAAGACCACCGCCTTAAATTTCTGTCAAACTCTCTCATGTTCTTAGGTGGCAGTCTGAACCACCGACTTATATGCTAAATGACTGCCGCCTTATGTGTTTTTTGTGGCTATGACCGTCGACTTAGATCTTTTTTTTTAATTTTTATTTATACTAGGTTAATTCTAACATCTTTTGGTCATGTTGATAGCTAAGCCGGCGGACATGACCACTAGCATATACCTATTTTTTTCAAAAAAAAAAAGGTACCTGAATTATTTATTTGTACCTTTTTTTTGTGGTACCTGAATTATTTATTATTATAATATTCAAAGCAAATTGTTTAAATACAATATCCAATTGATATATAAAAATACAACAAATTAAAAAAAAATCCAATTTCCAGGATAATGTAACATGTCTTCCAATGAAAATCCATTCAACATGATGGTTGAACCTGCAAATCATACCATATAAATTATTAGAGAATGGATTATGTTTATCAATAAAAAATTGGTCAATGCTCAAAATACAAGATCAAGTAAAATGAAGTGAAAATCTTTAAAAGAATAATGTTTTCTCACTTTGTAAGGGCTGACTTTGGCCAACTTGGATATTTGACACTTGAGCTGCAAAAGAATGTCAATTTAAATTATTTATAAGATCAAAATTAACTGATGACAATTCAAAAAAAATGCAACTAATAAACAATTTTAAAAAATGAATTACATGCATAGAATGGGACATGTTGAATTAAGTGTTAAATCATCCTTGAAAAATTTAGAGCATTCCCACGTCCATTCTCTTCTGTATAAGATGGGGACAGCATCATTTTACTACTATTTTACTTTCTCCCAAACAAACATGATAAAGTCAAACATGAAAGCAAAAATAAATCAAAATTTAAATGGCCTATTTGGGTTATCATGCATTTTATTCTAATGCAAATGAATATCAAGCAACCAGCAAATGAACCTATAGTATTTTCGGCAGTAGAGAAATGAGGTGGGCTATTCGGAATTTGGGATGGCTCAAATAGACGACCATTGTCGTGTTGGCTGCATGTTGTTTTGGACATGTATGTCCAGTCCAAAGTACAAAGTCTAGACTGGCCCATGTCCACGATATGTTGCTGTAACCAACCCATCAAAATGTAGTTCAGTTCAGATCAGTTAAGCCCATCAAATTCCCATCCTATTCCTTGTTATTGTATCAGAAACTTCAATCCTTTATCTAAATTTTACGTCAGACACCTTGTCCACCTCCACCCTTGCCAAATCTAGTTAATGTAGCCTCCTTATTTTATCATACGTCATAAACAACTCGTCACCAAACAAAATATTCATATTTGAAGTTCTAAACATAGACATCGTAAACTTTTCACCTCCCATAAAAAGACCCTGAACATTTAGTGATCAGGTCTCTTTTATTTGGACCTCCTCTTCAGGGTGAGGGGAATCTTGATCCAAATTCTACRCACTACCTCACTAAGCCCCCTCTTCATGTTCCTCCCTCTAATGGGTCTCATGAAAGGGACAACTCCTATACCTCCTAACCCCCCCCCAAAGCTACTCCAATTCCTAATAATGTAATCAGGTTTGACTTCCCTATTTTCTCCTCTACATTTCTAATTTTCTTCTCCACCACTCCTCTCCTCATGCACCATGCAAATACCTTCACCTGCATACATCTCCAACAATTCAACTAGGCCTCCCAACAACCACAGCAACATTGGTGGAGTCTCTTAGCAGATTATGAAAGCCTCTTTACATTCTCAAATATTCTTGGCATACAACTTCTCAGAAGATCCTTTTTAATAGATTCCCTGTAGGATTCCGTGTGTTCATCATGGACAAGGTATCATGATTTAATAGTTTTAATCAGGAACACTTTCGAAGATCCATGTATAAAATCAAACACCAGAAGGTATATAAGAGAAGACCGTACTTGTAAAGAATAACCTGAAAAGGCTCCAGGAAATTGTTCAGCCATAATCTCCATAGCAGGAAGAAATACAACAACCTGAGAAAAAAACCAACCACAATGGATTTGATTGGAAATAAGAACAATCAAGCTATAAAACATTCCCAATTATATTGATAAAAAAAACATTCCCAATTATACTAAAAACAAAAAGATGTAAAAAGGAATATAAAAACCTCTTTTACCATCTAATGGAGAGATTGTAGCATAAACATTTGAGTCTTCCAGTCTTATACAATCTTTCCCTGTCCMCACCTGTAGTTCCCATTACAAAAGGTACACCAACTTTGCAGTACAGCTCTGCATTGCCTGCAATCAAAGAAAAAGAAAAKATCTCAACTCAACTCAGCCTTAATCCCAACTATTTGATCTCAGCAAAATGAATTCTGTCCTACTTCAAAAAGGGGGGAAAGAAAAGGAAAAAACAGTAAAAATTAAAAATAACATCAAATAGCTTTTATTTTTTTTCAAATAGCTAAATTACAGAATACTCAAAAACAGTTTGACCCAAGTAGATTCACTACTACATTTTTCTTTCCCCTATTTTCCTGATCAATTGGCCATGGCTACCATTCAATAATTTACAAATAGCCTCCTAGTCATCACATTCTCTTGGATACACATGGCTGATCACATGGTATGGGGTTCTCAACTGCATTAAAACAAATCAGCACTTCTTTCACATCCTTCATGACCCAAACCTTCCACCAACCTAGCAGCACTAATCTTTCACTCTGCCTAGTAGAGGTGTCATAAAATTCAACTCTGATGACAGTAGGCGGTAACATGGGAACTCTAGCTCCTTCTGGAATGGAGGGAGTGTAGAGACAAAAATGTAGTAGAGCAATGTTTTCAGGCCCAATAGGCACTGGGAACTCCCTAAGAACTCCCTAAGGATCTGATTAAACTAAAAATTGTTCCATTACTATTACTTATTATCTTCCTAAAGAATAAAAACAAAATGTTAATGGGACTTGCAAAGCTTGTCTGCTAGCTACTGATCATTGAGATTCTTCTAGGCCCCAATGTATGTTATATTCCCTTAGCTTAGAATGTTTAAAATCACTTTCCCTTTCCAAATCAGAAAATGCATATGAACAAGGAAAACATTCACAAAGGGAAAAACTTTGGCATCATTTATCTTCATAGCATTTCAAATTAAATATGTTTTAGTATTCCTCATTGTGGTTCATTCCCTTGGCACCCCCAACCTMTTCTCTGAAGCTYCATGATGTTTTGCTAGAAAGTGGTGTTGTTGCACCCCCCAACCTATTCTCTGAAATTGATACTGAGTAGCTAGATCCCTTGGCAATTGAGGCCAAGAAGAAGAAGGATAACAAAGAAGGAAAGAAAAAGAGAAGGAATGGAACCAGAAATAAGGATCAAACTGATATCAGTCCTGGTCARRATTTTCCACCTCTGMCTTGTCATGGTATACAATCAAAAGCTAGTCCTGGCGTACATGTGGAACATCCCAAGTGTGTCGAGGGTTTAGGTGTTAGTCGTCCATTGGATGTAGGGGTAGGGACTGGACCATCTTATATATCAGAGTCTGAGCTATCTACTGCTTCAGCTAAGGACACTTGCCTAGCAAAATTTGTAAAACATGTTCTTGTAGCTACTGCTGCTGCCGCAACAGCAACTGTTGTTGCATCTTCAATGGTAGTTGCTGCAGCCATATCAAACTCAGAAGCAAACCTTGGAGTTACTGTAACAGCAGCAGCCACTGCTACTGCAGCTGTCAACAACTGCTGCTACTACTGCAGCTGTAGTAGCAACAACAGCTGCCTAACTGCAGCTGTCAGGAACTGCAGCTCTCAGAAAGATGGTGTTGCAGATAGAACAGTGAATGAACCACAAGGAATTTGGGCCCTATGTTTTAGTATACTTCCTTCCCCATTTTTGTCAAGTATTAAACAGAAAACCCACTATCCCCCTAGAATTCAAAAGGGGTTTTGTGAAAAGATG